AAAATGTTATATAATTTTCAATTAATTAACATTTCTTGCTGTGTCAGTGCAAGACGAATGTACATACATACATATGTAGATACATATGTACACATAGATGTGCACATATGTATGGACATTCACACATTAGTGTCTCACATTTTGCTTTGGCTATTTCAATGTTTGTATGTGTGTATGTATACTTAGTTGTCCCCAACTGTTTGATATTTTGTATTGTTTGTTCTGCATGCTTTTGTAAAATGCATATTTTGAAAATCCATGAATGCAAAGTTGTAGATTTAGTTACGTAGATTACATTACCCAAATTTTAAATCGATCGGACTAAATTTATAACACAAACTTTTCATTTGAAATAGTGAATAAATATTAAAACCCAAATAATTCAAGCTCCAACACAAATCTAAGTATGCAGTTTTGTTTGTATTCTTTAATTGATTTTAGAAACTAAGTTTTAAGTCGATCGGTTGAAAAATGCGGATTTTTCAAACAAACTTTGGAGCTACATTTCCCCCCTTTGGAGCTCGAATTTTCCAAAATCCCTTCTTAGTGCGCATCTACACCATGATAGGATACTTGAGCCCAAATTTCAGCATCCTAGCTTTTACCGTTTGGGCTGTGGGCTGTTGACGCGGTTTCCTTTTGTGCCCCAACATTTTTTTTTACAGGACAACTCCCATATTTTGGGCCCCAAAAAAAATATCAAACAAGTAAAAAAGCTAAAGTCGGGTGTCCCGACTTTGAAATACTCTGAACATATGTTTACAATAATTATAGAAAATAAAAAAATTAAGAAAATAAAAAAAAATTTGATCGATTTTACCTCTCTCGGTATTTGAACTCACGTAAAGGGTGTATAATTGAACATTTACATAGCAATTGCGTCTGTGTGAGTGTATGTATGCCTATGCGCATCTATTCGTGTCTGTGTAAGCATTTTCGCAGTCAACCAAACAGCAACATCAACAACAGCCGCGGGCAGCGCTTGAGCTGCGCTGCATCAGCAAATATATTTATGGCTATAACTTCTTGTTAAATCGGTCTATCATAATGAAATTTGGCATACGGACACATAATAACCAACTGGGGGTATTTCCAAAATTTTAGTTCGAAATTCCAAGAATTACGAGAGTGAGAGAAAATCGCGATTTGCTTTGGAGAGGGGGGCGGGAGGGAAATTCCAAAATACACATTTGCGGGCAGCGCTTGATGACTTTGCTTTTACAAATCAACAATAGACAAATCATTCAGCTACTAATCCTAAACCCATCGCCAAAGGGAACAACCCGTTTAATAAGTCTTGTACTAGAAAACTTAAGGTAAAAACAGGGGCTTGCTGCTGAAGAAGTAATTCAAAACGTGGTTGACAGCTTTTTTCCAATTCAAGTTCTCGAAGACCGTTTTTTTGCGTTCGCTTTGGCGATCTCATTCCTTCTGGGGCAGCATTTGTTAAGCATATTTAAATTTTAAAAACAATAAATCGGTTCAATATGCCGGATCAATTCCAATAGTGATATCTGAAAAAAACAGTTCGGGTATTAGGGGCAAAAGTTGAAAGTGGACTGTTTTACTATACATTTAACTAAGCCGGCAGGATCCCGCACATCGGCCGCAATCTGAGCAGAAGTATTTTTTAGTCCAGCCTTATTCCGACGAGTTTTACGTTTTTTATTAATATATCCTAATTGGATATTCCTGTAGTTAGGATTGTTGTATGTGTATACTTTTCCTATAACTAGGGGGACATCACGGTTCCGCAATTGCATTTTTTAAGCAAATTTTTTATCTTTATTCCAGAATTTCTTGTGTATATTCATTTATAGGAAGTGTTTCGAAGTGTGACTTATCGAGAAATGAATTGTGATTCGATTGGAATGTTCATCATATACCCCCAAATAGGTGGGGATTTCCCCAAAGCACTGTACAGCAATTTGCGATCACTTGAAAATTTTAAAAACATCGTGAATATATCAAAAGCCAAACTAACCCTTTTAAAAACGATAGAAAATTTGGGGTAAGAACAGCATGACCAACACTATGTATAAATGTATAAATAGAATAAATAGAATCGGCCAAAATTTCCAAGTTTTTGTTCCATTTTGAGGTCGTATTTTTGGTCTATTTACAAATATTGTAATCTAATCAAGAAGTCACTTTTTCCAAATGTGTCACTGACATCATGATTTACTCACATATCATTTAATATATGTATATGGGTGGTATGAGCGTATAACCACGCCCACTTTTTAAAAATAGTTTATTGTTTGAAGCCTACTGTTTAAAATATAGACCTTGCTATAACTAACACTATAGGACCTAGGGATATTAAATTTAAAGTCCAAGATGCCTTATGTGAATACGCAGAAAATGTGTTTTTTAGAATTTCCCTACCTCCCCCCCTCTCCAATGCAAATCGCGATTACCTCTAACTCCCGTAATTCTTGGAATTTCTAACTAAAATTTTGCAAATACCTCCAGTTAGTTATTATGTGTCCGTATGCCAAGTTTCATCATAATAGGTCTTTAACAAGAAGTTATAGCCATAAATATATTTGACTAGCAGGTATTGCCCGTCTTAACCCGGCTCAATATAATGTTTCCAATTGTATTTATTTTGTGTGTGCATAACCTACCCATATGCTTCCGCATTATAAGTTACCAGTAGGAAGGCATTTAAGGTATATAAATGAACATTTTCTGTTCTTGACAAAAAATTATTCAGTAGTCCGTTACATTTTTGTTCTTGCCAAACTATTTGGTTAAACGAACATGACCACTATAACTAATATTTTTTAAAGCTCGTTTTCCCCCCTTTGGAGCTAGAATTTTCCAAAAGCCTTTCTTAGTGTGCTCCTACACTATGATGGATACTTGAGTCCAAATTTCATCTTTTACCGTTTGGGCTGTGCGTTGATCACCAATTAGTCAGGACAAACTGTTTTATATATAACGCAACGTTTTAAGATAGACTATGTGCAAAAAAGGGGAATAATTCTAAATTCACATTTGAGTCTTTTCGTGCCATATTGAGTCAATACGGTCACGCACAAACTCGGAATATGAAACACGGCACCCGTGTCAAAAAGCACTGACAATTCTCATCTCAATTTGCTAGAGTAAAACTTTCGATAGTTGAAGCCACCGATACCATCAAAATATCGAAGTTTGAATGCAATAAGCAGAATATTTAAATAACAAAATCTAATTATTTATTGACATCAATAAGAACAAATCATATACATACATACATCTGCCCGCAATGCGAAGCAGAATATGCGTAGCTCCGTTATTCGGTTTTTGCTTTACTATCGCTTACGCAGTCGTTGCCTAGCGACGGTAACTGTAAACTTTTGGCGTTTTGCCTTTGCAATTAACATTAAATGGTCACAACGAAAGAAGAAGAGCGAGCCAATGACTTGCAGTTGTTGTTGTTTTTAGAGCATTATTTTTTTTACAATCAAACAACTGTGTTCGATTGCCCAATGTATACATTAATGCGAATGTACATACATGCTATATTCATACAAAGGCATACATACATACATATGTATGTTTCTCTTTACTTTTTCAACCGTACGTAGAGAACCGCACACATAGACACGAACTGTTGCTTGTTGTATGTGATGTCCCCAACTATTTGATATTTGTTGTTGCTGCATAAAGTTATTAATGCCAAATGCACTAAACAAAGAAAAAATTACTTTTAAAAATGTTATATAATTTTCAATTAATTAACATTTCTTGCTGTGTCAGTGCAAGACGAATGTACATACATAAATATGTAGATACATATGTACACACATAGATGTGCACATATGTATGGACATTCACACATTAGTGTCTCACATTTTGCTTTGGCTATTTCAATGTTTGTATGTGTGTATGTATACTTAGTTGTCCCCAACTGTTTGATATTTTGTATTGTTTGTTCTGCATGCTTTTGTAAAATGCATATTTTGAAAATCCATGAATGCAAAGTTGTAGATTTAGTTACGTAGATTACATTACCCAAATTTTAAATCGATCGGACTAAATTTATAACACAAACTTTTCATTTGAAATAGTGAATAAATATTAAAACCCAAATAATTCAAGCTCCAACACAAATCTAAGTATTTTTCAAACAAACTTTGGAGCTACATTTCCCCCCTTTGGAGCTCGAATTTTCCAAAATCTTCTTAGTGCGCATCTACACCATGATAGGATACTTGAGCCCAAATTTCAGCATCCTAGCTTTTACCGTTTGGGCTGTGGGCTGTTGACGCGGTTTCCTTTTGTGCCCCAACATTTTTTTACAGGACAACTCCCATATTTTGGGCCCCAAAAAAAATATCAAACAAGTAAAAAAGCTAAAGTCGGGTGTCCCGACTTTGAAATACTCTGAACATATGTTTACAATAATTATAGAAAATAAAAAAAAATTTGATCGATTTTACCTCTCTCGGTATTTGAACTCACGTAAAGGGTGTATAATTGAACATTTACATAGCAATTGCGTCTGTGTGAGTGTATTCGTGTCTGTGTAAGCATTTTCGCAGTCAACCAAACAGCAACATCAACAACAGCCGCGGGCAGCGCTTGAGCTGCGCTGCATCAGCAAATATATTTATGGCTATAACTTCTTGTTAAATCGGTCTATCATAATGAAATTTGGCATACGGACACATAATAACCAACTGGGGGTATTTCCAAAATTTTAGTTCGAAATTCCAAGAATTACGAGAGTGAGAGAAAATCGCGATTTGCTTTGGAGAGGGGGGCGGGAGGGAAATTCCAAAATACACATTTGCGGGCAGCGCTTGATGACTTTGCTTTTACAAATCAACAATAGACAAATCATTCAGCTACTAATCATGAACCCATCGCCAAAGGGAACAACCCGTTTAATAAGTCTTGTACTAGAAAACTTAAGGTAAAAACAGGGGCTTGCTGCTGAAGAAGTAATTCAAAACGTGGTTGACAGCTTTTTTTCCAATTCAAGTTCTCGAAGACCGTTTTTTTGGCGTTCGCTTTGGCGATCTCATTCCTTCTGGGGCAGCATTTGTTAAGCATATTTAAATTTTAAAAACAATAAATCGGTTCAATATGCCGGATCAATTCCAATAGTGATATCTGAAAAAAAACAGTTCGGGTATTAGGGGCAAAAGTTGAAAGTGGACTGTTTTACTATACATTTAACTAAGCCGGCAGGATCCCGCACATCGGCCGCAATCTGAGCAGAAGTATTTTTTAGTCCAGCCTTATTCCGACGAGTTTTACGTTTTTTATTAATATATCCTAATTGGATATTCCTGTAGTTAGGATTGTTGTATGTGTATACTTTTCCTATAACTAGGGGGACATCACGGTTCCGCAATTGCATTTTTTAAGCGAATTTTTTATCTTTATTCCAGAATTTCTTGTGTATATTCATTTATAGGAAGTGTTTCGAAGTGTGACTTATCGAGAAATGAATTGTGATTCGATTGGAATGTTCATCATATACCCCCAAATAGGTGGGGATTTCCCCAAAGCACTGTACAGCAATTTGCGATCACTTGAAAATTTTAAAAACATCGTGAATATATCAAAAGCCAAACTAACCCTTTTAAAAACGATAGAAAATTTGGGTTAAGAACAGCATGACCAACACTATGTATAAATGTATAAATAGAATAAATAGAATCGGCCAAAATTTCCAAGTTTTTGTTCCATTTTGAGGTCGTATTTTTGGTCTATTTACAAATATTGTAATCTAATCAAGAAGTCACTTTTTCCAAATGTGTCACTGACATCATGATTTACTCACATATCATTTAATATATGTATATGGGTGGTATGAGCGTATAACCACGCCCACTTTTTAAAAATAGTTTATTGTTTGAAGCCTACTGTTTAAAATATAGACCTTGCTATAACTAACACTATAGGACCTAGGGATATTAAATTTAAAGTCCAAGATGCCTTATGTGAATACGCAGAAAATGTGTTTTTTAGAATTTCCCTACCTCCCCCCCTCTCCAATGCAAATCGCGATTACCTCTAACTCCCGTAATTCTTGGAATTTCTAACTAAAATTTTGCAAATACCTCCAGTTAGTTATTATGTGTCCGTATGCCAAGTTTCATCATAATAGGTCTTTAACAAGAAGTTATAGCCATAAATATATTTGACTAGCAGGTATTGCCCGTCTTAACCCGGCTCAATATAATGTTTCCAATTGTATTTATTTTGTGTGTGCATAACCTACCCATATGCTTCCGCATTATAAGTTACCAGTAGGAAGGCATTTAAGGTATATAAATGAACATTTTCTGTTCTTGACAAAAAATTATTCAGTAGTCCGTTACATTTTTGTTCTTGCCAAACTATTTGGTTAAACGAACATGACCACTATAACTAATATTTTTTAAAGCTCGTTTTCCCCCCCTTTGGAGCTAGAATTTTCCAAAAGCCTTTCTTAGTGTGCTCCTACACTATGATGGATACTTGAGTCCAAATTTCATCTTTTACCGTTTGGGCTGTGCGTTGATCACCAATTAGTCAGGACAAACTGTTTTATATATAACGCAACGTTTTAAGATAGACTATGTGCAAAAAAGGGGAATAATTCTAAATTCACATTTGAGTCTTTTCGTGCCATATTGAGTCAATACGGTCACGCACAAACTCGGAATATGAAACACGGCACCCGTGTCAAAAAGCACTGACAATTCTCATCTCAATTTGCTAGAGTAAAACTTTCGATAGTTGAAGCCACCGATACCATCAAAATATCGAAGTTTGAATGCAATAAGCAGAATATTTAAATAACAAAATCGAATTATTTATTGACATCAATAAGAACAAATCATATACATACATACATCTGCCCGCAATGCGAAGCAGAATATGCGTAGCTCCGTTATTCGGTTTTTGCTTTACTATCGCTTACGCAGTCGTTGCCTAGCGACGGTAACTGTAAACTTTTGGCGTTTTGCCTTTGCAATTAACATTAAATGGTCACAACGAAAGAAGAAGAGCGAGCCAATGACTTGCAGTTGTTGTTGTTTTTAGAGCATTATTTTTTTTACAATCAAACAACTGTGTTCGATTGCCCAATGTATACATTAATGCGAATGTACATACATGCTATATTCATACAAAGGCATACATACATACATATGTATGTTTCTCTTTACTTTTTCAACCGTACGTAGAGAACCGCACACATAGACACGAACTGTTGCTTGTTGTGTGTGTGAGTGTGTGTATGTGATGTCCCCAACTATTTGATATTTGTTGTTGCTGCATAAAGTTATTAATACCAAATGCACTAAACAAAGAAAAAATTACTTTTAAAAATGTTATATAATTTTCAATTAATTAACATTTCTTGCTGTGTCAGTGCAAGACGAATGTACATACATACATATGTAGATACATATGTACACATATAGATGTGCACATATGTATGGACATTCACACATTAGTGTCTCACATTTTGCTTTGGCTATTTCAATGTTTGTATGTGTGTATGTATACTTAGTTGTCCCCAACTGTTTGATATTTTGTATTGTTTGTTCTGCATGCTTTTGTAAAATGCATATTTTGAAAATCCATGAATGCAAAGTTGTAGATTTAGTTACGTAGATTACATTACCCAAATTTTAAATCGATCGGACTAAATTTATAACACAAACTTTTCATTTGAAATAGTGAATAAATATTAAAACCCAAATAATTCAAGCTCCAACACAAATCTAAGTATGCAGTTTTGTTTGTATTCTTTAATTGATTTTAGAAACTAAGTTTTAAGTCGATCGGTTGAAAAATGCGGATTTTTCAAACAAACTTTGGAGCTACATTTCCCCCCTTTGGAGCTACATTTTTCAATTTTCAAAAATCCCTTCTTAGTGCGCATCTACACCATGATAGGATACTTGAGCCCAAATTTCAGCATCCTAGCTTTTACCGTTTGGGCTGTGGGCTGTTGACGCGGTTTCCTTTTGTGCCCCAACATTTTTTTTTACAGGACAACTCCCATATTTTGGGCCCCAAAAAAAATATCAAACAAGTAAAAAAGCTAAAGTCGGGTGTCCCGACTTTGAAATACTCTGAACATATGTTTACAATAATTATAGAAAATAAAAAAATTAAGAAAATAAATAAAAAATTTGATCGATTTTACCTCTCTCGGTATTTGAACTCACGTAAAGGGTGTATAATTGAACATTTACATAGCAATTGCGTCTGTGTGAGTGTATGTATGCCTATGCGCATCTATTCGTGTCTGTGTAAGCATTTTCGCAGTCAACCAAACAGCAACATCAACAACAGCCGCGGGCAGCGCTTGAGCTGCGCTGCATCAGCAAATATATTTATGGCTATAACTTCTTGTTAAATCGGTCTATCATAATGAAATTTGGCATACGGACACATAATAACCAACTGGGGGTATTTCCAAAATTTTAGTTCGAAATTCCAAGAATTACGAGAGTGAGAGAAAATCGCGATTTGCTTTGGAGAGGGGGGCGGGAGGGAAATTCCAAAATACACATTTGCGGGCAGCGCTTGATGACTTTGCTTTTACAAATCAACAATAGACAAATCATTCAGCTACTAATCCTAAACCCATCGCCAAAGGGAACAACCCGTTTAATAAGTCTTGTACTAGAAAACTTAAGGTAAAAACAGGGGCTTGCTGCTGAAGAAGTAATTCAAAACGTGGTTGACAGCTTTTTTCCAATTCAAGTTCTCGAAGACCGTTTTTTTGCGTTCGCTTTGGCGATCTCATTCCTTCTGGGGCAGCATTTGTTAAGCATATTTAAATTTTAAAAACAATAAATCGGTTCAATATGCCGGATCAATTCCAATAGTGATATCTGAAAAAAACAGTTCGGGTATTAGGGGCAAAAGTTGAAAGTGGACTGTTTTACTATACATTTAACTAAGCCGGCAGGATCCCGCACATCGGCCGCAATCTGAGCAGAAGTATTTTTTAGTCCAGCCTTATTCCGACGAGTTTTACGTTTTTTATTAATATATCCTAATTGGATATTCCCGTAGTTAGGATTGTTGTATGTGTATACTACCTATAACTAGGGGGACATCACGGTTCCGCAATTGCATTTTTTAAGCGAATTTTTTATCTTTATTCCAGAATTTCTTGTGTATATTCATTTATAGGAAGTGTTTCGAAGTGTGACTTATCGAGAAATGAATTGTGATTCGATTGGAATAGGTGGGGATTTCCCCAAAGCACTGTACAGCAATTTGCGATCACTTGAAAATTTTAAAAACATCGTGAATATATCAAAAGCCAAACTAACCCTTTTAAAAACGATAGAAAATTTGGGGTAAGAACAGCATGACCAACACTATGTATAAATGTATAAATAGAATCGGCCAAAATTTCCAAGTTTTTGTTCCATTTTGAGGTCGTATTTTTGGTCTATTTACAAATATTGTAATCTAATCAAGAAGTCACTTTTTCCAAATGTGTCACTGACATCATGATTTACTCACATATCATTTAATATATGTATATGGGTGGTATGAGCGTATAACCACGCCCACTTTTTAAAAATAGTTTATTGTTTGAAGCCTACTGTTTAAAATATAGACCTTGCTATAACTAACACTATAGGACCTAGGGATATTAAATTTAAAGTCCAAGATGCCTTATGTGAATACGCAGAAAATGTGTTTTTTAGAATTTCCCTACCTCCCCCCTCTCCAATGCAAATCGCGATTACCTCTAACTCCCGTAATTCTTGGAATTTCTAACTAAAATTTTGCAAATACCTCCAGTTAGTTATTATGTGTCCGTATGCCAAGTTTCATCATAATAGGTCTTTGACAAGAAGTTATAGCCATAAATATATTTGACTAGCAGGTATTGCCCGTCTTAACCCGGCTCAATATAATGTTTCCAATTGTATTTATTTTGTGTGTGCATAACCTACCCATATGCTTCCGCATTATAAGTTACCAGTAGGAAGGCATTTAAGGTATATAAATGAACATTTTCTGTTCTTGACAAAAAATTATTCAGTAGTCCGTTACATTTTTGTTCTTGCCAAACTATTTGGAGCTAGAATTTTCCAAAAGCCTTTCTTAGTGTGCTCCTACACTATGATGGATACTTGAGTCCAAATTTCATCTTTTACCGTTTGGGCTGTGCGTTGATCACCAATTAGTCAGGACAAACTGTTTTATATATAACGCAACGTTTTAAGATAGACTATGTGCAAAAAAGGGGAATAATTCTAAATTCACATTTGAGTCTTTTCGTGCCATATTGAGTCAATACGGTCACGCACAAACTCGGAATATGAAACACGGCACCCGTGTCAAAAAGCACTGACAATTCTCATCTCAATTTGCTAGAGTAAAACTTTCGATAGTTGAAGCCACCGATACCATCAAAATATCGAAGTTTGA